GCACAGGATGGGAAATGGTGGCCAAGAACAGCCTGTTCCACTGCTGGCTGGTGGGGATGTCATGTGCTGTGGGGTGTTGTGAAGCCAGCGCTGTCTGTTGTGTGGCCAAATACGGGGGGAGGGGGAAGAGCAGGGATATTGTGTGTTGCAATAAAGTTGGCCAGTTTGGCCTGGATGTTGTGCAACGCAAGGGGTTGGGGCTGTGTGGCTCTTGTGCTTGACCGGCGCCACCATCCCTCCCCCTCAGGTGAGCCCTTCGACCCCACGTTTGTGCTGAGCCGCTCCGTGTCCAACATCATCTGCTCGGTGCTCTTCGGGAGCCGCTTCGACTATGACGACGAGCGTCTCCTCACCATTATTAGCCTCATCAATGACAACTTCCAAATCATGAGCAGCCCCTGGGGAGAGGTCTGGAGGCCAAGAGCTACTGGAAGGAGGAGGGCGCACAGGGATGGAGGGGGCGGGGAGGACCCTGACCCTGACCCTGCTGGCCCCATCGTTAGGCGGTTGGGCTGCAAACCGCAAGGTCAGTGGCTGGAAACCACCAGCCGCTCCCCGGAAGAAAATGGAGGCTTTCGACTCCCGCAAAGCGTTACAATTTCAGAAACCCACAGAGGGCAGTTCTATTCTGCCCTACAGGGTCGCTATGAGTTGACATGGCCTCTCAATAGCAGGGTGTTTGGGTTTTGTTCTTTGAACTCTGCCCCTGGTGAACAGTCTCCGCCTAGGCATCCCCATACTGAGCCAACCGACCATCTCCATCGCCCGACCCCACCCTTGCTTACCTGGTCTACCCTGACCTCACTCGCTGCGCCCCTTGCTTTCCCCTCCCCCCAACCCCTATTCCTCTAACAGCCTGGTGACTTCCTTGTCCACAGATGTACAACCTCTTCCCAAGCCTCTTGAACTGGGTGCCTGGGCCGCACCGACGCCTCTTCCAAAATTTCGGGAGGGTAAAGGACCTCATTGCCCACAGTGTCCGCGACCACCAGGCCTCGCTGGACCCCAACTCGCCCCGGGACTTCATCGACTGCTTTCTCTCAAAAATGGCGCAAGTATGCCTTGCCGGGAAAGCTCACCTCCACCTGACCTGCAGCCTGCCTGTAGCCCTGGGCTCAAACCAGCTTGGATCCCGGCGTGGGCGGGTTCTGGGATGGTCCGCTCAGCTCCAGAAGTTGAAGCTGAACACCTGCCCACGATGGGCTGGTGCCCAGAACCGCTCCCGGCCAAGGCCAATTAACAGCTTAATTAGAAGTCCTTGGGACTGCAAGATGCTAGTTGTGGGCCCCGAAGCAGGGATTCTCCTGAACCCGCCCTTCCGTACTCCGGGGCTCTCCCGTGGGGCGTAAAGCAGAGGCGGGACTCAGGGGGGAGTGGGTGGCACAGGTCCGGAGCCCACGATCTTGGTGTCTCAGGGTGGACGCAGGTGGGCCCGTCTCCTAGCCCTGACTCGCCTTCCCATCTCCCCACCCTGCAGGAGAAGCAGGACCCGCTGAGCCACTTCTGCATGGACACTCTGCTGATGACCACGCACAACCTGCTCTTTGGTGGCACCGAGACCGTGGGCACGACGCTGCGCCACGCCTTCCTCGTGCTCATGAAGTACCCGGAAGTGCAAGGTGAGCGAGCGAGCCCCGCCCCGCGGACCGACCCCGCCCCCAAGCTCCAGTCCCTAAGCCCCGCCCTCACCACCCACTGGGATCCGAGCGCCGTCCACGCGCTCCCACGGACAGCAAGGCCAAGGCCACGCCCCTGGCCCTTGACCCTCGCTAGCCCAGCTGCCCCGCCCCCACGCCTCCTCTAGAATCTGGACACACACACACACACACACACACGCACACACGCACACACGCACACACACACTTTCCAGCCCCGACTCCGCTTCTCGTCCCTCAGCCGGTGTCCAGGAGGAGATCGACCGGGTGGTGGGGCGCGCGCGGTTGCCGTCGCTGGAGGACCGCGCGACCATGCCCTACACCGACGCCGTGATCCACGAGGTGCAGCGCTTCGCCGACGTCATCCCCATGAACTTGCCGCACCGCGTCATCCGGGACACGGCTTTCCGCGGCTTCCTGCTACCCAAGGTGTGCGAGGCACCAGTCAGAGGCATCCCAGGCCCTAGCAACTTGCATTCGCGTCTCTAGCAACCGGAATCCCGCCCCTCCTCCCTCCCTGTCCGCCCCGCGAAACCCGGAATCAACACCCCACCCCACCCCCGCGTTAGCAACTGGCAAGACCCCATGACCTTCCCATGACCCCATTTCCTATCATAATGAACTAGACCCCGTTCTAAACTCAGACCCCCTTCCCCAGGACAGGGCCCCTACCTAGGTCTTCGTTGCGAAATCCCCAGTATCTGGGACTTTATCCTGGGGGATCCCCTTGTGTCCAGGCATGTTTTCCAAGACCTCTCTCCATTCCCTGGAACCCCAAAACTATAAACCATCCCTGCAAGAAGGGGTACCTTGCACCTTGTCCCAGACCCAGCAACACCGCCTGGTAACACCCATCGCCCAAGAATCCCAGACTCACATCTGCATTCCTGGATCCCAGCTCTGTCCAGGGGATGGGGCTTTGTGGGCGGGTCTCCAAGCCCCGCACCCCTCGGATCAAGACCCGCCCCTGCCCCTCTGCATCACTAACGTCCACTTCGCTCCCACTCAGGGCACAGAGGTGATTACGCTCCTCAACACCGTCCACTACGACCCCAGCCAGTTCCAGACCCCGCAGAAGTTCAATCCTGAGCATTTCTTGGATGAAAACCGCTCCTTCAAGAAGAGCCCCGCCTTCATGCCTTTCTCAGCTGGTGAGAAAGGTGGGGGGCGGGGTGGGGTGTCAGTGTCTGGGGCCTATATTCCCACCTACGTACCCCAGTCCTAGTTCCACTCCCCCAAATCCTGGCACTTGGACACCCTCCCCTAGCTCCGCTCCCCACTCCATCCCTCTGGGCGGAGGAAAACTGAACTCCAGTGGCCAGAGACGGAATGGCAGCATGGGAAATAATTCTTCCGTCTCTCCACTGGGTGGCACAGCGGAAGCGGGTATTATTTCTCGGCTTGGATCTTTGCCGGCCATCCCGCACTGCCCCCCACCCCCGAAAAAAATTCTTGTGTTTTCTCAGCCGCTGGAGAAAAGGAAAAAACAAAAATCCAAAAACGGGGAGGCAACTAATTATATTGCATTAACAGTCCTGGTGGCGTGGTGGGTTTGCGCTGGGCCACTGACCTCAAGGTCAGCAGTTTAAAACCACCCCACACTCTGGGGGAGATAGCTGCGGCTTTCAACAGCCCTAAGCTCAGAAACCCAGAGGGCGGGCTAGCCTGTCCGAAAGGGTCGCGGACTCCATCCAGAGCAGGGAGAATCATCTTGTGTGTGGAGACTGCTCTCAAGCCACCGGCGCCACAAAGATTTAAAAGCCCACTGCCATCTAGTGGATTCCGCCGCACAGTGACTCTACAGTACAGAGTAGAACTCCATAGGGGTTATTCATCTTTATGGGATCAGAAAAGCCAACAAACTCACTGGCATGGAGTCAATTTTGACTCATGTTGACCCAATGGCAGCAGCCAGCCTCATCTTTCTCCCGAGGGGCAGCTGGTGGGTTTGAACCACCCAGCCCTGCAGTTAACTGACTGCACCACCAGGACTCCATCTCCTAAAGATTACCGCCTAGGAAACCTTTGGGGGCGTTTTACTCTGCTCTGTAGGATCTCTATGTGTTGGAGATGATTTGACAGCATACAGACACCACATGTCAAAAGAGTTAGACTATAAGGGAGAAAGAGTCTCCCAAACTCACAGGGCTGGTTCTACCCTGCCCTCGAGGGTTGATATAAGTCAGCATCACCTCCATGGCAGTGACTTTGGGTTGGTTTTTTGGTAGTGGATAAGTGGCTGGGCCCTGTAGCCAGGCTCCTGGGCGTTGTATCCTACTTCTGCTATCTCCTAGCTGTATGGCCTTGGATGTGATCTCCTAGCTGTGTGACCTTGGATGTGTTCGCTCGCCTCTCGGTGCCACATCTGTAAGAGGGCGCTCATTCACCATGAAGCCCACCTCTTGGGGTCATGTGAGGAATGAATGGTGGTGTGGTGTTTAGAGCATTCGCTTTCTCATCTCCATATTCTACCTGCATTTGCCCTTCACAAGGGACCCTGGTTTCCCAACAGTTAAGCACTCAGTGAATAACTGAAAGGCTGGCAGTTGGAAGCCATTCTTGGGTGCTGGCCACCCGCTCGGGTAGAGATGTGGTTGTCATCGACACTGAGGACCATCAAGCCTGTACCAGCCCATAGTGACTATGCCAGTCCTGCACCATCCTCCCAACCGTCCCTGGGCCCGGGCCCAGGGTGGCAGCCACTGTGTCAATGCCTCTCCTTGAGGGCCTTACACCTTTACCAAGCATGATGTCCTTCTCGTTGGGACTGGTCTCTCCCGACAACCTGCGAAGTGGACAGCCTAGGAAACACGGTGGGCACAGTTCTGTTCTGTCCTTGTCCGGTCGCTGAGTGTGCAGCGGGTTTCATGGCGCCTGCCATTCTTCACAATCTTGATGCAAGCGGAAGCCTCGAAGGGTGGGTTCCCTGCTTGCCCAAGAGCCGGAAGCTAGTAGTGACAGCATCCGGATGCGAACCCAAGCAGCAGTATAATGGTTTCACCAGGTCATTTAGCTCTCCGCCCTAGGGTGGGTCTGTGACGTTGCCAACCCTTAGCCTCAAAGGGTTTTTGCTTTGTTCGTGCTTCCCTCTGGGGACTTGGGCTCCCTCTCAGCTCTTCCTTACCGCTCACCCCGCAGGGCGCCGGCTGTGCCTGGGCGAGTCGCTGGCGCGCATGGAGCTCTTCCTCTACCTGACCGCCATCCTGCAGAGTTTCTCGCTGCGGCCGCTGGGGGCGCCCGAGAGCATAGACCTGACCCCGCTCAGCTCCGGGCTGGGCAATTTGCCGCGGCCCTTCCAGATGTGCCTGCGCGCGCGCTGACGCCCCGGCCCCTGCCCCTCCAGATGTGCCTGTGAACGCGCTGACGCCCCATCCCCCGACCCTTCCAGATGTGCCTGCGCGCGCGCTGACGCCCCAGCCCCTGCCCCTCCAGATGTGCCTGTGCACGCGCTGACACCCCGGTCCCTGGACCCTTCCAGATGTGCCTGCGCGCGCGCTGACGCCCTGGCCCCTGCCCCTCCAGATGTGCCTGTGCACGCGCTGACGCCCCG